ACACACACACACACACACACACACACACACACACACACACACACACAGTGATGTTCTGCCTCTCCTGGAGCTCATTGTGAAGTGTTATAATGTGTGTCAGTGTTAATTTAGAGAGCTGCACTATCAAAGTCGAGGATGTGTGTATCCATGTGTATACGTGTGTGTTTGTGCGTGCAATGGTTCCTTTGGCTGCTGAGACTCAACATTTGATTTGCTAAAAGGAGCTGGACACTTCTATTAATCAATATTTGCTGACTGACTGGGTGTCTCTCTGGTTGATTGACTGGCTGCGCCGTTACTTGACTGACTGATTGGCTAACTAAATGACTGACTATCTGGCAGTCTGAATGACCACTGTTCAACTGGTTGACTGCATCTCTAAGTGAACACCACTTATAACATGACCAAAAGAGAAAGAGCACAGAAGAACAACAGCAGAGGTAAAGCTTAAGGAAGGCTCATTGGGTGCCTCTCTCAGGATGCTGTGATGTACCAATGTTGAACAACAATGTAGGACAAAAGGCATATTTAAATGAGCGATCTGATCGGTGAGCAGTCGAAATCTAGAGTAGGATCACTGTTTCTGTAGAGACATACAGACAAACAAAACCGAAGAGAAAGACAGTGTCAATGGCTGAGTGAGAGCAGAGGGGAGGTTGGAGTCGTGGGAGGGGATAGGGGTTGAGAGATGAGGTTGACTTGATAATGAAGAGGTTAAGGATACCATGGAGAGAGAGGGTGGGAGGTCAGGTCAGAGAGAGGGAGAAAAGGAGGGAGAGACAGAAAGAGCCAGAAGCAGAGAGGGAGAAAAAGGGAGGTCACGGGAGAGGTTGAAGAGGTGGGGGATATTTAGCCATCGGGTCAGAATAGTATTGTATTAAAGGCTCTTTGGGAGTATCTAGGTTATACTGAGGTAATGTATGTGACCTCCCTGCTTTCCATTCTCTACTCATTTGCTACTATTTCTTCTCTCTCACCTCAGTCTTGTATGTTTTATTTCAAACCTTCTCTTCAGTTCTACATTCTCCTTAATCCTGATTCCTGTTTTCAGCATCACTGTGGGGGATTTCAACACCCATGCTCATCCTCAAATCCAAACAAGGAGTAAGGGGAAGACAGAGAAAGAAGGAATGATAGAGAGGCCAATAAATGACTAAAGGAGACAGAAAGATTGAAAGAAGCATGCAGAACATGAGCCAAGAGGACTTCCCTCATCACCTACTATCCGATCACCACCACCGCCACCCAATTCCCTTTCTCCCACATCTCCATAAAGGCCGATTAAATGAATAGACACACAGCAACCCCCCTCCACCTCCCTTCCCCCGTTTTTACAGCTCAATCATACTGCTTTACTGCCGACACATAGACCGCTTATCCTGAGTGTCAAAATTGAAAAGGGAACGAAAGAAAGACTGTAAGAAAAGAAAGCGCAAGTAAGAGGAGATATGGAAGCCAGAGAATAGTGGAGGGGAAGTGGGGGCAGCCCAAGAGCAATTTCTTCCTTGAATAAAGAAAGAATGGGGGAGGGGGTTGTAAAAAAAAACACTAATGGCAAGGCCTCTGGTTCTGGTAAAATAGACTGTGTTATAGGTTCTGGCTCTCGTTCGTTGATTCATTCATTTGTTCATTCCTTTGCGCTTTCGTCAAGTCAAGTGTTCGCCTGTCTGTCTTTCTCTTTTGTGTCCGCGAGTCTAGATAAGAGCTGCTGGCATGACTGCCCAGTAGTCATTTAGTTAGAGAGAGAGAGAGAGGGAAGGAGAGAGAGAGAGGGAGTGAGGATGAGGGAAAAAGAGAACAGAAAAGAGGATGAAAAGACTAATTCTACAGACAGATAAATGGCTCATTTTTTAAAAGCCTTTCTTTCTTTTAATTCACTCTCTTATTTGCTCCTGTTTAAATATTTGCCTCCTCCTCTCACCTGACCGCTCCTTGTTCCTTCTTCAACACACACACACACAATACTATGATATGCGGCCTAATATGCAACTGGAGTTGTGGCTATGAGAGCCATTAACATGAGATCTTCTCTCCACTAATCCATATTATTGGACGCCAAAGCCTTTCACATCCTCTGAATAATAACTCCTACAATATTTCCACATAAGTTTCCTGAGAGTGACAGTATGCTGCTCATATACTTGTCTTCTAAATGTGTGAATATGTGTGGGGCCCGGTTTGAATCAGCAAAAAGACTCGTCTATGTTTGTGTTTGCATGCATTTCATCTGTGTCTTTGACACACATACAGTATGCATGTGTGAGGTGCAAATGTGTGATGGTGTCCCATGCCTGGTGGGATAA